TTTTTTTGGTTTTTTGAGACAGGGTTTCTCTGTGTACCGAACTTCATGTTCTTGATTGTTATCTTTCAGCGGGATATTAAGCCAATAACGAAATCCTCTTGAGACGTTTGAGAGTCTCCAGTTATGTCTGTCCTATATCGATACGTTGTTTCTGGATTCCTCCAGAAGGTACACTCCCTAAGGCAGAGGTCTTGACCTGTGCTGGTGGTGATGTATTCCCAGTGTCTGGAACAGTGCCTGTCTTCTAGTAATGTCAGTGAATGAGCCCGTCCAAAGAAATGAACAGGGCGACAGACATGCTAGTGTTAGGTGAGAGGCAGTGATCCCCCAGCCTCAGGAGGTGAAGGGGGAAAGCAGGAGAGGTGAGGAGAGACCCGTGCTGGCTCCTAGCTACCTCCTAGACCCGTAGGTAAGTCTGTAACACAGCCATCTTCATCTTCACTTGGCTTCACAACCCCAGAGGGGGAGAATTCTAGCCAAGGCTCCAAGGCTTATTAACTGGCCAGGTTAATAAGTGGCAGGACCTGGATCCACTCCAGGAGGCTCCAGCTCCAAGCCCAGGGTGTTATAGTCCAAGCAGAACTAGACTGCGTGGAGAAGCCCCCAGTGCAAGGTGGAAGGCAGTGACGGTGGGGACAGGTGGGAACCCCCTCAGAATAGTGGCTGTGTAATGCAGTTTTGCCCCTGGGATGGTACATTTAAGAGAGAGTATTTGCAGGCTGGGGGCAGGGAACCAGTCAGCAAGGGCCGTGATGACGTTACCAAGGAGACAGGAGAAAACACTGCCCATGTAGAGAAAGCACTAGGAAGCCAAAATGAGGCCTGGGAGAAATGGGCCACCGGGCGTGAGTTGGTGGGAATTGCTGCCCTGGCCACACTCGGGGCTGTCAGAGAAGAGCCATTCAGAGGTCCAGGTCCAGAGAAGAAGGGCCACGAGGCAGGAAGGAGGACAGAGACATGCCCCTCATGTAAACATCCGCTCACCCCCGAACACATGCCCATACCCCAACCAGACTTCAGCATTGCTGTGGAGATTTCTTGACTAAAGACATAGCTACTGCCTTGACCTCCCTCCTGTGTGCTTCCCCGTCCTGGGACCTCCTCCAGGCGCCCCTCAGCTTCCCTCTGTGTCCCCGAAGCAAGCCTAGAGCCCTGCCTTTGCCGCCCCACCTTGCCTTAACCGTGGACTCCACCCCGCCCCCCTCAGTTGCTTGTAGGAATTGGAGAGGTTTCTGTCGGCCTGACCTGGCTCGGGGCCTCCGTCTCTGTCCCTGGCTGACCCTGTCCGTCCCTTTCTGTCGGACTGGATGCTTGCTCTGAGTCTCCCTTTGTCCCTCTGAGTGCGCACACCAGGGTCTGTCTGTCTGTCCGCGTGCAGGCTGGGAGAATGCCTGAGCTTCCATGGCGCTTAGGTGCCATCTCCAAGAGCAAGAGGGTGAAGAGTCGGGGGCGAGATAAGGAGAGTTTGTTCGGGTTTGCCTCTCAACAATGTGCGAGTCCTTGCAGATCTGGGGTGGGGACATTTCAAATCAATAACTACCAATTTACAGAGGAGGATTTCTTGTCTTTGGGGTGAAGTCGGGCTCAGGTGACTTCAACACAACCCAGTCAGCTCAGCACGCCCCAGCATCTTCAGCGCACAAGGCGTGAGCACCACATGGGCACTTTGGAAGAACTCTGACCACAGCAGGCTTCCCTGCCATATTCACCCCAGCTCTCACCCCTGTCTGCCCTACTGTGGCTGTTGGAATCCTAGACAAGGATGCTGCTACTCTGTGGTACCTTCCCTCTGAGCATCCTTTTATCCTGCGTATAAAACCAAGAGCGCAGCGTGAGGCATAGACTGTCGCCTCCTCTGTCTGCCCCAGCACTCCACGTTCACCCGAGCTACCCCAGAACTGCTGTGTCCTTCAGGATGTCCCCTAGTTTATACACTGAAGCACCCTCATGCATCTCTGGGCAGCGGTGGCCCTCTCTGAGGACAGACGGGCTCAGAACCTCCAAGGGCCCTCTCTAAAGACACACATGGACATCCAAGGGGGGGTCTGGATAGCCAAGTTGTTCCAGAGTGTGGAGAAACAAGTTTCCCGTCAAAACTGTTTCCCTTTCAGAACCAGGCAGGCTCTGCTCCCCTCCCTATAACTGCTCCCTAGAGCTAAGGTGGCTTCCGCTTCCACTGGCTGGCTTTCCCTCACAGCACTCCATGCCAGCTGAGTTGTGGGCGGTGAGCAATCCACCTCTACCTCATTATCCCTGGCAGGCAAGCGCCAGAGAAAGGAGACAGAAGGCTAGCCCCTGGGCCGGGTGGGTCAGGAAAGCCCCCTCAGAGAAGTGCAGGAGGCCGTGGAGAGCCCAAGTGTGACCTCAGTATTGTTTCTGCCCATGCTGCCGCAGGTTAGCCGAGGAGCAGCCCGGACACTGGAAACTCAGGTGAGTAGTGCATCCTCGCCTTCCACCTCCCCGTCTTGCGTCACAGGTCCCACGCCAGAGCAAGCCTTACCACTGGAATTTTCTTGAAAGAACCCAATTGCTCCTTTCCCTCCGCTCCCCCACAGCTGCCGCCGCTGGACCTGTTTACTGGTTCCAGGCAGTGGCCTGTCTTGCACCGCGTGTCTGTGGCCCCGGTGTCTCCAATGGCACTGACGGAAGCGGGTGGCAGAGTACCAGCCGGGAGTAGCCACCTCCCGGGGCTGCCTCTGCCTCTGCAGCCCTGTCCTCTGTGTCCACTGTACCCACAGCAAGAATTCCCCTGGGATCCTGTCACTCAGCACTGCCCCCTAATGGGGTCCCGACCCAGCCACACTGACCACAGAGAGCCAGGGAGTCAAAGGACAGACAGACAGACACTCTTCTGGTCTTAGGAATGAGTCTGTCGGGGTTTTTTTTTTTTAATCTGTAGTCTTGATGCAACTTCCAGATTTGCTTTCTTTTCTTTTTTCTTTTTTCTTTTTTCTTTTCAAGACAGAGAGTCTTGAACAGCTTGGCTGTTCTAGAACTCAAGAAGATCTGACTGCCCCTGCTTCCCAAGTGCTGGACTAAAGGGGTGTGTCAACACTCCTGGTCTCCACTTATTTTTAAAAATTGGACATCCTTTTCAATTACAAATCTTCAGGGTAGAAAAAAAAAAAGCCGAGGGCCGTGGCACCACCAACCGGAAAAGGGACTTTCTCAGATAGCCTTCTAAGAATGACATCTCAGAGCTGCCTCTGGGCCGAACTGGTCCCCGCCCTTCCCGAAAGGTCAGCCTGCACACTTGGTTTGCTGAGCTGGCTGCAGGTGGGCCAGCACCAGGGTACTGCTGCTCAGTATATGCAGATCAGGCCCTTCCTGTGGCAAGCCCAGGCTGCTGCATGCAGCTGGTGAGGTCAGGAACTGACTCAAAGGCCTTCAGGAACCTGCCGGGTCCCCTCTGTCCCTAGGGGGGGACACTGGGGCACACTTTCTTGCCAAGAAAGACTGCGTGGGAAGGAGATTTGTGAGCACCATCCAGCCAGCCTGCTCCTTGGGTGCACATGAAGGCGCCAAAGCCCGCACAGAAGGACTTGGTGCCAGGGCTGGAATCGGCTGGTGCCTCTGCCTCACCGGCTGTCTGTCCTCTGACCCGTGTCAGGAGTCACGAGGAGCCAGCAGTAGAGACCGATGAAAAGTGCCACACACCGTGACATGCTCTCTGCTGCCAGAGACTCTCTCCCCTTCCTCTGCCCATCTCCTCCACCGCACCCCTCCCCTTCCAAACCTGCCACTGTGACCCAGTTTTTTGACATAAGCAATGACCTCAGAAGACACGCACCGTC